ACTGAAGTCCATAAACACAATATCATATTCATTACCATGATCTACCTCCGCAAACACCTTAGTGAAAAAAGTTAGTAAATTAGTAAGACAGGAACGCCCCTTTGTAAAACCTCGTTGAGAATCATTAATCAATCTATGCCTGTCAAGATGGCTACGAATTGCTTCGGCAATTATTGATTCCATAAATTTTCCCACTATGGAGGTAAGGCTTATTGGTCTATAGTTCGAAGCCAAGGACCTGTCACCTGCCTTGTAAATAGGTATTACATTTGCCATTTTCCACATATCAGGCACTATGCCAGTTTGTAGTGATATGTTAAAAAGATTAGCCAAAGGTATGCTAAGTTCCTCTTTACATTCTTTTAACACCCTTGCAAACAGTTCATCAGGACCTGGGGATTTGTTAGATTTTAGTTTCTCTATTTGTCTGAGGACCATGTCACTAGTTACCGCTATCGTACATAGTTTATTATCCTGTTTTACGTAATCTATTATTTCAGGAATATCGCTAGTATTTTCCTGGGTGAAAACTGAGAGAAAGTAGGTATTTAGTATTTCACATATATCCTTATCACTGTCAGTGATCTGACCAGAGTTACTCTTAAGTGGGCCAATCTTGTCCCTAATCTTACTTCTGCATACCTGAAAGAACCCTTCTGGGTTAGTCTTTGAATCCCTTGCGACCTTAGCCTCTTAATTCCTTTTTGCTTTTCTTATTCCTTTTTTTATTTCTCTCTTTAATTGAATATTTTGATTTCTTAACTGCCCATCCCCTCTTTTGATACGCCTATATATGCCTCTCTTTTGACCAATGAGATGTTTTAATCTTTTGTTCATCCATTTGGGATCATTTTTGTTAGATCTAATTTCCCTGCTCGGAACAAAACTTGTCTGGGCAGCTAGAACTATGCTCTGAAAAACGTCATATTGGCAACCAAGATCACCTACCTGACCCACAGTCAGGTCATCCCAATTTAGCCCACCCAAGTAATTTTTCAGTCCCATGAATTCGGCCAAGCGAAAATCTGGGACAGAGATTTGATTGCAGTTATCTGGGTAATTCCATGATGTATTGAAACTAAGTGATTTGTGATCACTTTCCCCAAACTCATCATTAACCTCAAGATTATTAATTAGCGAACCTTTGTTGGCAAGAACCAAGTCAAGCAGATTGTTTCCTCTAGTTGGTTCTGTCACAACCTGTTCTGAAAAGCAATCCTGAACCGTATCAAGAAAGTCACTAGACTCAAGATTTCCTGTCATATTGTTCCAATCAATTTGTCTAAAGTTAAAATCTCCCATTGTCACAACATTTTCATATCTAGATGCCTTATGAATTTCGTCCTATAACAGCTTTCTGCACTCCCTATTAAGGTTTGGGGCCTATAAATCACACCCAAAATTAATTTGTCACGTCCCTCGAGAAACTGTAGCCAAACCGATTCTGTGTTCGATGTTTCTAATCTTATATCATGTCTAAGACAACAATTTAAATTTTCTCTGACATACATCGCCACACCACCACCCTTCCTGTTGTCCCTATCAGTGTGGAATAGTTTATAACCCTGTATGTTGTACTCAGAAGGCATTTCTCTATCTTTCAGTTTGAACCAGGTCTCTGTTATACCAATAATATCTATATTACCTACACTTGCAAGTAATTTTAGCTCATCTATCTTATTTCTTAAACTCCTACTATTTGTATAGTAAACCTTTAGGGAGCTAGTCACTCGTTGCCCTCTACTATCTCTCTTTGTTTGTTGATCAATTGATTTGCCATTACTAGCAACTTTATTTTGAATATTGTCTTTTAAACATATCCCTGAGGTATCCCGGTAATAACTGCTGTTTTAACCCTAATGCTGCAGCCTGATTGTTTCCCACAAACACCTATACCTCTATAATCTATCAGTTTAAAATTCCTAGACAAGTCATCAATTACCCTCTCAATTGAATTGGCTAATGCAACCACTCCATCCCCAGAGAGATGAACCCCATCCCATGCATATATATCACATTTGCCAAAGAAAAGATCCCAGTTATCAATGAATGGGATTGCAAGTTCCTTGCAGTACCTGTCTAGCCAGCGATTTATACCAATTGCCTAGACATCCATTCATTGCCCACTCCCTTTCTAGGCAAGATGCTACATATGACTGGGATCCCTCCCTTAGACCTAACTACTTCTATGGCTGACCTGTACTTATCCAGCAGCTCCTCTCTCCTGCCCTTCCCAATGTCATTACCCCCAGCACTAAGACAGATAATGGCTTGATCCCATTACCTGACATATATTATCCCAACCTGCTGACTATGTCGCCAACACCAGCTCCAGGAAGACACACTCTCTGTCTGAACTTTCTGTCTCTGTTACAAAATGCACGGTCCATATATCTTACCTGAGAATCGCCTACTATTAAAATATTCTTACCTTGATTAGCAAGGGAATCAGTGGTACCTTCAACCTCACTAACCACTGAAGTACACTCGTCTTGGAGAACAGAGAATCGATTTCCTACCTTCACATCTTCTTTATTAACTCTCCTCATCTTCCTTCTTCCTGAACTGTGAACCACTTGCCACTTAAAGCGGCTGCCACTATCACTGCTGGTGATCATTCCTTCCTTACCAGCTAAATCCTTCTCACACTCGCTCCCAGACTCATCTATGCGAAGCTTCAGCTTCCTATTTTCCTCCTGAAGAAGTAGAATCTCCTTCTTCAACACTTGAACCTGGGATTCTAAAACACTACGACAAGCCATGGTGCTTGGTAACAGCCCACGCTAACTCCCAAGACCTTGGCAGGTATGACCGCACTTGACCACCTTATTATAACATGAACAATTTATTTTAGCCTAACCCAACTAAATATATTTTAGATTTGTTTACAATAATTTAATACTAAACAAAGACAGTGAAATTTATTTTTTTCGTTAGGTTCAGAATGATTTTGGCGAAATTATTGCATACACAAATTTTCACTTGTCCTATATGGCAAGATGAGCGTTGCTATTTAAGCCAAGATCGCAAGTTCTGCCTATTCGGCACGACATATATATATATATATACAGGAAACAGATAATCCTTGTCTGGTAAATCACAACTGAAACGCAGGCTTATAAACCCTGTTGTAGTAGACTCGATAGCAAATTAACAAAATATCCAGAATAGACCAGGTTCTCTGACTGCAACCCTTCCCAAATGACTCCCTCTGTTCCTCCAGTGAAATTCACCATTAAAACAGATCATGACTGATTCCACTTTTGGTTACTAGTACTGTTATGTGTGCAAAGTTCCTCAAAAACATCATATATAAGTTGACTTTCAATGTGTGTTTATTTGTGTTTAGTATTTTCACATACACACACAAACAAAAATTGATATCACTCTGTGATAATCTTTCAACTATCTCAAAATGTTGAATATTATTATTAATTTAGATAGATGTCTCCATGTAATGTTAGGATCTCTGTAGTCAGAGATTTACCTAATTTGCTGGAAGTTTGCAAGAATGTGACGTGATTCATAAAATGGACATTTTAGTTACAAGCTACCAGCAGTTACCTCAGATCAGCTCATTTACAGGCTAAGAACTTTTTTCCTTCCTCAGCTCATTTACAGGCTAAGAACTTTTATCCTTCATCAGCTCATTTACAAGCTAAGAATTGTTATCCCTCCTCAGTTTATTCCAGGAACCAGTTCTGTGTTGGGTTTATTGTCATCCTAACGTCACGATCCAGGACACAGCGCTAACACGCAGGTATCCAATTAATTTTAGGTGAAAAAGGAACAAGATGCAGAAGGAAATATATTCAACGTTTCCACGCAGCCCGGAATCGAACTCGGGTTCTTTGGTTGTCAGACAAAATAGCTACTACCGCACTTCGACTCCTGTTAGGCAAAAAAAAACACAAAACTAAGAAAGAGAATTAGGCACACCAAAACGACTTCACTTTAGGCCAACTGTTGAGGACAAACAAATTGTGTCTAAATGATTCATTTTTGGAATATACTGAATAAATTATCACTAACCCCCCCCCCCCCCCCCGAAAAAATTATAGCATTTATAAATTTTTTTCATGATTTACATACTTGATTCATTCATATTTCAAATTGCCACTTTTTTGTTTCTTAAATACAAGAGAAGAAGTGATTTAATTATCCTCAACGCATTATAGATGTAAATGATATCAGTTTTTTGGTTCCATGGATGAGTAAGTCATAAAATGTGTCACTGTGGATCAGTCAATGTGTCTTCCGTCTTACTATGTATCCTCTCCTACTCAGCTGGCTTTCACCCTTGTAAACTAATGAAACTTCCCAAAAGTAGTTAAAGTAATATATTTCCTGTTATTTTATGTAGGTTATTTTGCATAACTGACATCACGTGTACTTGTATTATTCCTTTGTCAATATATATATATATATATATATATATATATATATATATATATATATATATATATATATATATATATATATATATATATATATATATATATATATAGTATATAATAGAGTAATGATAGAGAGAGAGAGAGAGAGAGAAAGAGACAAACAATTTCTTTATTAATTTCGTTTCGGAAGTAACATCATCCATCATCAGAATCAAAAATTTTAAAATCACCAAAAATTCTAATTTAAATTTAGATCTGAAATATTGTACAATAATACATAACACTGTTTACATTATCCATTAAAAAAATCAGATTTCATAATTATTGTCGTCAGTATCATCATAATACTGTACAATGTTCCAGGTTAAAATTTAATTAGGTTTTTAAATTATTTAAAAGTTGTTATTCTTTTATTGTAATTTTAGATTCTGATGATGTTACATCTGAAAATTTAATTTCTACTTATATATATATATATATATATATATATATATATATATATATATATATATATATATATATATATATATATATATATATATATATATATATATATATATATATATATATTTGTTATATCGATTTATATACAATTCAGTCTGCACGCCATTTCTTTAAGTGCTAATTTACAATATAGTTTTTTTTGGTACATATATTGGAGTATTGTTTCTGGTTTGGTATATAAAAGTCAGCTACTCTACTAAGAAAACTAGACGACAGAAATGGTGAGCCAAGTGTTGTAATCCACACACCAATGTTGATGACACCACACACACCAATGTTGATGACACCACACACACACCAATGTTGATGACACCACACACACACACCAATGTTGATGACACCACACACACACCAATGTTGATGACACCACACACACACCAATGTTGATGACACCACACACACACCAATGTTGATGACACCACACACACCAATGTTGATGACACCACACACACCAATGTTGATGACACCACACACACCAATGTTGATGACACCACACACACCAATGTTGATGACACCACACACACCAATATTGATGACACCACACACACCAATGTTGATGACACTACGCACAGCAGGGATGATCACCTGACCATATACTTGCAGTGAAGTCCACTTCTGTGAGGGAGAACTCTAAGAAATTTCCAAATGAATGTTCAGATACATGACATCAACCACTTTCTGTTATCAGTGACAGTGTGTTGCTTTTGTTCCCTTAATGAGGCAAGAGAGGGAGTTCTTGCCAGAGATTTTCAGGTGTGGACACAGTTCTTTAAAATCACTCAGTGACTGGTTATCATTAGTCGCATTCTCAGTGTTTAATGCATAGATTTTTCACCTAGAAGCTTGGTGTGTGTGTGTGTGTGTGTGTGTGTGTGTGTGTGTGTGTGTGTGTGTGTGTGTGTGTGTGTGTGTGTGTGTGTGTGTGTGTGTGTGTGTGTGTGTGTGTGTGTGTGTGCGTCATCTTGAAGAAAACGACTGGCGGTGAGGTGTTGTCCACAGAGAGGCCACACCTGAGTCACAGTGGCCTGTGTTTAATGGCCTTCCAGACAGCCACATTTGGGCCACAGCGAGTGAGCAGGACAGAACAGGCTGTGTCCCGGGAACTGTAGCCGGTACTTCACTGTGATGAAAGCGATGTCCAGTCTTGGTAGGAGGGTGGAAATAGGCTTTAGGAGAAAAGGAATTAGGGTTTAAGGGGAAATGTGAGAGGTTGTGGTGACTGAGTAATTATCCGCACTATAAGAGAAGCTGTACTGAGGATGCTGCCCACTGCAGTGAGACCAAGGTGAGAAACACCGTCCACGGCCGCCCGTACACCCACAGCATCCCCGGACAGCCGGAGGTTCTCCGCTGAATCGCTGCCGTTTTGT